AGAAGCTCAAACACATGTCGATAAAATAAAAAATATCAACATATTACCACGAAGACTTAAAGAAACTAAGTTGCATGAGACACCAAAAAAAAACTATTTGAATTCATACAGTGGTATATTCAACAAACTGATGAAACACAAAAAACTTATAATAAAGACTTAGAGAATGAGGAGACAAGATATATCGAGAATACAGATAATGCTCTTGATATAAGACTAGAGCAATATATAAATCTGAAAGAACCTCATAGAAGAACTGTTATAGATAAGCTAACATCAATAGCCAATACAAGTAAAAGTGAAGAAGAGAAAAAAAGAGCTAATAACAGGTGAAGAAATAATGCTGCAATGAAAATATCTGTAAACCATAGGAAATTACAGATAGCGAAAAGGAAAAGAAGCAAGAAGAATATAAAGTTATAAAAACTAAAGGGAAGACACCTGTACGGTATAAACATTTTTATAGTAATGTAAGTATGATAAGCGAAGCTGGATCTTCATGGAGTGAAGATTCTGCAGTTGAAGATAAGAAGTTCCAAGAAGAACAAGATAAAGTTATAAGACAAGTTCTTGAACAACAAGACAAAAATGACCCAACAAGAATGTTGCTCATAACAGGAGAAACTTCTACAAAAGGAAGTACTGTAACCTTGCATAATATACAAGCACTGAAACTACCATCCTGCCTAGCAAACCTGTTAAACCGAAAAGTAGTTGGCCATTTGTACCCAGGTGGAGTTATAATGACCCACCAAAGAAGAAACAACCATTATCTACAAAAGTAATAAAGAATAATGCAGCAAAGCAAACAATATGGCAGGAACAATATAAGAACTCTGAATTTTACAGAAATAGACAAATATCTATAAAAGGCAGAAGATCTAGTATACCACTGCGTGTATAGATAAAGAAACTAACAAACCAACTAAACCAACTGCAAATATCATTATTATTACTAGGCTCAGCAGTATATATAAATGAAACCACTAGCTCTAGTTCAATAAGTATAAAATTAACTAATAGTAGTGAACAACCAACACAGAACAATGCAGAAGGTACACCACCTGTTAGACCAAAAGATAACCAGTATGGCTACAGCACTAATGAAATAATGAGTTTAGAACAATCATATTGGAAACCCCAAAAAAGGAAAGTATGTAATCTAAAGTTACATGAAGAGTTAAATTATATGCCTAATGAAATAAGAAGAATGATATTACCAACTATGAGTATAGGAGTACCTATACATACAAAGAGAAAAGTAATATTGAAACCATATACATTTACAGCAGTATCAATTATACCAAATATAGGCTATGTAGTGACACTATTATATTTAGCCCAAAATAGAACTATGATCCAAAATGGATATATAGATAGAACTGTTAAAACAATACAAATAATTAATTAGACATATACAAGTATGAAATACCGAAAGGATACCATATAGCAAACCTGAAGAATATTAAAGAAGTATATGAATTTGCTAAAGAAATAAACCCAGAAGATAATGATAAGAAAATGAAACCAGAAGAAAGATTTAAGCTTTTACTTGAAAAGACAAACTTAGAATATAGAAAATTATTAGAACCAGTAATCAAAAAATATTACAAGGATATTTTTCAGTTAAAAGAAGAAAAAGCAACAACATTTAATTCTGAATGCTTTAATATACTGATACAATTAAAGCTAAAAGAAAAATCGATATTAGAAGGCATACCTAAGAACCGATGTCTCAAGAAGAAAAAGAAAAATCAAATGCAATATTCAAGAAACTATTTGATAATAGATACCTTGAAACTTCAACAGCAGCATGGATATCATCCATTATGATATTACCAAAATCAGATAGATCAAA